TTATATAGCGCCAACCAGGGGTGGACTGACAACTCATGGGGCCCCCGGACAATAGGGTATCATGGGGCCCCTGTGTCCTTGCCCAAACTCAAAAAAGCCTATGAAAAGGGTACCAGGGGCATCTCATGGGGCCCCCTACTGACCCCGGGCCGTCGGGCAGTGCCCGAGCTTCCAAATGGTCAGTCCGCCCCTGGCGCCAACAGTTTACTCAGCGCTTTACAATATAAACAATAGACCTCCAGCAGCAACAACAGATCTCCCCACAGCCAGTATCAGTAGACCCTCCAGCAGCCAGCAACAGTAGACCCTGCCCTCAAAGTAGATCCTTCCCAGTAACAATTGGCCCCCCAGCAATGTAAGACCCACCCCAGCAACAATAGATTCCCCACCAGCACAAAAAACCTCCACAGAAACAATAGACCTCCCTGCAAAAATAGATTCCCTCCAGCAACAACATATCCCCCAGCAGCCAGCATCGATAGGCCATCCAGAACACCCCAGTACTCCTTGCCATTACATATATTCAGTGCTGGAGGTGCTGCAACTGTGTTCCCCTATGTTCTCTCTGAAAAAAAGCCCTGGTTAAACATATCTGTAATTCACAATGTTGGGCTTTAGATCCATGCATGTTTGCTATAGCAATGTTATGGTTGCAGTAAAGCCACACACCTGCTTTGTAACTGGGCTCCCTAGTGAAAGAATAATTTCCATTTTACAGGCTAACACAGTCATTGATGCAACACTCTGTGGAAGTACGTAAAGAAAAGGCCAGAATGCCTCAAAATCCTGCACTACATTATTTATTTATTTCAGGTACTTATATAGTGCGACCAATTTATGCAGTTCTTTACATATACAGTGGGGATCGAAAGTTTGGGCACCCCAGCTAAAAATTTGTATTAATGTGCGTAAAGAAGCCAAGGAAAGATGGAAAAATCTCCAAAAGGCATCAAATTACAGATTAGACATTCTTATAACATGTCAACAAAAGTTAGATTTTATTTCAATCATTTACACTTTCAAAATAACAGAAAACAAAAAAATGGCGTCTGCAAAAGTTTGGGCACCCTGCAGAATTTATAGCATGCACTGCCCCCTTTGCCAAGCTGAGACCTGCCAGTGTCATGGATTGTTCTCAATCATCATCTGGGAAGACCAGGTAATGTCAATCTTAAAGGTTTTAAATGCCAAGACTCATCTGACCTTGCCCCAACAATCAGCACCATGGGTTCTTCTAAGCAGTTGTCTAGAAAACTGAAACTGAAAATAGTTGACGCTCACAAAGCTGGAGAAGGCTATAAGAAAGCAAAGCGTTTTTAGATGTCAATATCCTCTGTTCGGAATGTAATTAAGAAATGGCAGTCATCAGGAACAGTGGAAGTTAAAGCAAGATCTGGAAGACCAAGAAAAATATCAGACAGAACAGCTTGCAGGATTGTGAGAAAAACAATTCAAAACCCACGTTTGACTGCACGATCCCTCCAGAAAGATCTGGCAGACACTGGAGTTGTGGTACACTATTCCACTATAAAGAGATACTTGTACAAATATGGTCTTCATGGAAGAGTCATCAGAAGAAAACCTCTTCTACGTCCTCACCACAAAAATCATCGTTTGAACTTTGCAAATGAACATATAGACAAGCCTGATGCATTTTGGAAACAAGTTCTGTGGACAGATGAGGTTAAAATTTAACTTTTTGGCCGGAATGAGCAAAGGTACGTTTGGAGAAGAAGGGGCACAGAATTTAATGAAAAGAACCTCTGTCCAACTGTTAAGCATGGGGTTAGATCAATCATGCTTTGGGGTTGTGTTGCAGCCAGTGGCACAGGGAACATCTCATGAATAGAAGGAAAAATGGATTCAATAAAATTTCAGCAAATTTTGGATGGTAACTTGATGCCATCTGTGAAAAAGCTGAAGTTAAAGAGAGGATGGCTTCTACAAATGGATAATGAACCTAAACACACCTCAAAATCCACGGGGGATTACATCAAGAGGCGTAAACTGAAGGTTTTGCCATGGCCTTCACAATCTCCTGACCTCAACATAATTGAAAATCTATGGATAGACCTTAAAAGAGCAGTGCGTGACAGACAGCCCAGAAATCTCAAAGAACTGGAAGACTTTTGTAAGGAAGAATGGGCAAAGATACCTCAAACAAGAATTGAAAGACTCTTGGCTGGCTACAAAAAGCGTTTACAAGCTGTGATACTTGACAAAGGGGACAGTACAAGATATTAACTCTGCAGGGTGCCCAAACTTTTGCAGACGCCATTTTTTTGTTTTCTGTTATTTTGAAAGTGTAAATGATGGAAATAAAATCTAACTTTTGTTGACATATTATAAGAATGTCTAATCTGTAATTTGATGCCTTTTGGAGATTTTTCCATCTTTCCTTGGCTTCTTTATGCACAATAATACAAATTTTTAGCTGGGGTGCCCAAACTTTCGATCCCCACTGTATATGTATTGTACATTCACATCAGTCCCTAACCCTCAAGGGGTGTACAATCTAAGGTCCCTAACTCACATTCACATACTAGGGCCAATTTAGACAGGAGCCAATAAACCTACCAGCATGTCTTTGAAGAGTGGGAGGAAACCCATGTAGGCACAGGGAGAACATGCAAACTCCAGGTAGGAGGTGCCGTGGCTGGGATTCAAACCAACGACCCTAGTACTGCCAGGTGGAAGTGCTAACCATTTAGCCATTGTGCTGCACATTATATTTAATTAGCCAATAAATGGTAGCTCCTGAACTACATTTCTACAGAGAAAATTAAACTATCACTTCTAATCTATTTTTACTTTTCACTTATTTAGCTTGATCATTTCCAAATGGTATTAATTTCTTCAGATCTGTTACAGAGAAACTTTATACATACCTGCCCCCCAAGAGCTTACAATGTTATGTAGCTTATATAGCTTTTTTTATAAAGAATGATTTTGAGTTATTTTGAACCTTGGAACTGCTTGTTGAGATAACACTGGGAGTTTTCGCCTTGTTGGAATACACCAGTCGGCCTTAACTTTATGACAACCCACTTAATATTAGGTAGGTCTCCCTTTTGCCCCCAAAACAGCTCTGACCCATCGAGGCATGGGCGCCACAAGACCTATGAAGGTATGCTGTGGTATCTGGCAGCCATCCACCAGTAGCTAAAACTTTAAGTCCTGTAAGTTGCAAGGTGGGGCCTCCATGGATTGGCCTTGTTTTTCTAACACATCCCAAAGATGCTCGATTGGATTGAGAACTGGAGAATTTGGAGGTCAAGTCAACACCTCAAGCTTGTTGTGTTCCCCAAACCATTCTTGAAGATTTTTCAGCATGGCATGGTGCGCTATCCTGCTGAAAGATGCCATTGCCATCAAGGAATATTATTTGATGAAGGGATGTACTTTGGTTGGCAACAATATTTAGGTGGTATGTGTTATGTAACATCCACATGAATAGCAGAATCCAAGGTTTCCCAGCAGAACATTCTTCCTGGTATCATGTCTTCCCCAGGTAAAACGACACCCATGCACCCGGCCAGCCACATGATGTAAAAGAAAACATAATTTATTAGACCAAGCCACCTTCTTCAATTGCTCTGTGGCCCAGTTCTGATACTCACATGCCTATTGTAGGCACTTTTAGCTGTGGACATGGGTCAGCATGGACACCCTGACCGCTCTGCAGCTAAGCAGTCCCATAAGCAACAATCTGTGATGCCCCTTTGTTGCTGCTTAGAGCACATTAACTTCATAGACATATCTTGCTGCCTAATGCATCCCACAGACTTTCGGATACCATTGTTACAAGATAATGAGTGTTTTTCACTTAAAGTGATATTAAAGGCATTTTTTTTTTTAAATAACAAAAATGTCATACATACCTGTTCTGTGCAGTGATTTTGCATAGAGCAGCCCTGATCCACCTTTTCTTGGGTCACCCACCAGAGTTCCTGGCCCCTCCCTCCTGCCTAGTGCCCCCAGAGCAAGCAGCTTGCTATGGGGGGCACTCAAGCAGGCTTGCTCTAAAGCAACTGCTTCGCATGTGTATTCACACAGAGCTGTGGCTCAGCCCCATCTCCTCTCTCTCTACATTGGCTCACTGGCTGTAATTGACAGCAGTGGAAGCCAATGGCTCCTGCTGCTGTCTCAGCCAAAGAAGAGGGAGAGTCCCTGGAGAACCAAGGCTCTTGTGCACATCCTTGGATCACAGACTCAGGTAAGTATTAGGGGGGTCTGGGGGGGGGGGCTTCTGTACATGGAAGTTTTTTTACCTTTATGCATAGAATGCATGAAGTTAAAAAAAATGTTCAGCCTTTATAACCACTTTAACCGGTCAGTGGTCATAAAGTTATGGCTGATCAATGTACAGTATATCTGTGCCAGCAAGTACCAATAATTTATTTTTCAATGAAATGTGCATGTGTGACACACTCACCACTGGGTGAGCCAGGTAGAACATAATAGAGGGCCCTGGCAGTACACACATAACAGATCTAATTTTGAGTAGAAGCCAAATCATCTCTCATAACTTTACCACTTGGAAAAGCTCTCTTATAGAATCCACCTACCTGCTTCATCTGTTGTTAAAAGTTATATGGCATATATTTAGGAGAATCATGAACTAATGAACAACAGGCTCTTCTGATTTAAGTATAATTGCCACTCATCCCTTAAAAGTGCATAAGCATTTTCTGATAGGTATTATCAATTGCTGGTGATATCATGGAAGCATCAATGGTGGGAATTGGAGCTGTGGGAGACTAGAATGTGCCTCTGCCAGGTTTACTTTATTAATATTTTAAATAATAAACAGGAAGTCGTACAAAACCCCACATTTATCATTGCATTGTCATTACTGTAAAAACATTCAATTTATTTCAACATTTACTGATTGGTATGGTACCTCTGTATCCACATAAACAAAACCGTGTTCACATATGTTGTCTGCATCAATGTGTGTTTGCATTTGCTTTTTGACTATTGTCTTCTCGCCCCCAGCAGGAGCCGAGGAATCCGCACTCACCTGAGCTGTCTGTCACAAAAGTCTGATTCGCTCAGTGACTTCTCCACTCTTCAGTATGACGCCAAGCACAATCAAGCCCTTAAGTAAGTTGCCACATCCATACACACTTGTATTTCTGTGCTTTGCAGATGGAGTGTAGCATGTTGGGTTTCCATAGTTATCAAATAATTTCATTGTCTGACTACAGGTGCTGGCCTGTAACCAGCTCTTGTTCTGTTGAGTAGGGAAGTCAAGGGGTCATGAAATTGGCCAAAATCCTCATTTCCAGGGCGTAATATCAATGATGAATAAGAACATAGTTGACGGAAGGGATTGAGTGCAGTCAATCTTCATAGGAATCAATGCCAAAATATTTGTAAAAACAATGATTCAGGAGTACATTTTTAAAGTGAATGGTACCAGTGAATGTACAGGTAGCTGTCTTATAAATATGCTAACTGAGTCATAGATCTAACAACTGTGGGAAATTCAGATGTTAGGAAAACAGTGGCAAATGTGCTGTGATGAGACTAACCTTTCCAGCCAAAGGATTTTAAAAATGCAGTAAATCTTCAATCAAGTCATAGACGAATTAGGGAATGGTTAGAAAATTGATCATTTGCCATTGTATAGTATATTCCTTAAAGCTAGTTAAAGTGGTTGTAAAGGATGAATGTTCTATGCATGAAGGTAAAAAGCCTTCTGTGTGCAGCAGTGCCCCCAGCCCCCTCAGTACTTACTTGAGTCTCATCGCGACCCAGCGATGTGAATAACAGCCTCGGCTGTCCCGAGTCTCTGTCCTCCTCATTGGCTGGGACAGCAAGTGGGAACCATTGGCTCCCACTGCTGTCAATCACAGCCAGTCAGCCAATGAGGAAATAGAGGGTTGGGGCCAAGGTGTGGCTCCGTGTGTGACTGGACACAGAGCAGCGGGTGCACCGATAGCAAGCTGCTTGCTGTGGGTGCACCCGACAGAAAGCAGGATCCAGGAGAGCCTGCGGGGGACCCAAGAAGAGGAGGATGCAGGCTGCTCTGTGCAAAACCACTGCACACAGTAGTTAAGTATAGACATGTTTGTTATTTTGCAAAGAAAAAAAAAAAAGAATCTTTAGAATCGCTTTAAATTATAATTGTATCCCTAGTCTGAGGGTGTATTGGGTTTTTTTTTATTAAGACTGGAGAATGCAGCTCTCCATAGAAACCAATCAACTTCCAGGTTTTATTGCCAAAGCTTAACTTAACCTGATGTTAGAAATTGATTGGTCACCATGCACAGCTGCACCAGGTTTTGAGTACACTAGTTTGATAAATTTTCCCCATAATGTCAGGTTCCTGTATCCAGGGGCGGACTGACCATTTGGAAATTCGGGCACTGCCCGAGGGCCCGGGGTCAGTAGGGGGTCCCATGAGATGCTCCTGGTACCTTTTTCATAGGCTTTTTTGAGTTTGGGCAAGGACACAGGGGCCCCATGATCCCCTATTGCCCGGGGGCCCATGAGTTGTCAGTCCGCCCCTGCCTGTATCATTAAAGTATTATTGAAGTTTAAAGTATAGCTACAGGCAGAATATTTTTTTTTTTTAGTTGCAATAGACTGGTGAGGGGATAAAACCACTGTCAGGTTGCTGTCTGGGTCCTCTTTAGCGAGATTCACCCCTCTAATTGTCCTGATCACCAATGCCAACAGAACTGGGCTGTAGGCAAGATAGCACCTTTGCCCCCACCTTGTATCCCCCACATACCTTGAATTGACATTGATAAGGATTGCAGTAGGCACAGAGAAGCAGCACCATTTGCATTGTCTGTACTGGCTTGCCCCATTAGACACCAATTGCCTATAGGTTCATCTTCCTTTGTAAAGTGATGGTTGCACAACTTTCACCAATTGCATTATCCTCTTGTTCACTACAGAAGCATGAAGGTTACTGCTAGGCTATCCTGACCCTAGGATCTTGCCTAGGTTATCTTGTGACTAACACCCCGGTCACATCAAGCCCGACTTTGAAATCGTACGACCTACAGTGAAGTTGCACAATTTCAAAGTCGAGGGACATGCCGATTTCAAGTGCGATTTGTAAGACATCTGACACAGATGTCTATGCAAATCGCACCAAAAGTAGTACATGTACTGCTTTAGAAATTGGTGCGGCTCTGACCAAGTCTGAATCGCATTGGTTTGACCGCTGTAATTATGGACAATAGGGTGCGACTTAGCATACAATTTGCAAGTCACATGGCATGCAAATCGCTTGCCAAGTCACACCCAGTGCGACCGTGGTGTAAGGTATTTAAAGAAAACCTCCTGTGAGAACATGTGAAGACTGCCATTGCTCACCCCCATTCCCAAAAACACTAGCTCCATGGATGTCATTCTGATCCAGTGGACAGGGACACTTACTTGTTTCTGACTTTTCTTGATTTTCATGCTTATTTTGGGTCATTGAAAGTATTGATAGTGGAGACAGTCAAGAAATTAACATTGTCTAAGAGAGGTCAGCTACAGCAACCTTCATCTCTCAGTAGAGGTTTCCTGTAAGTCCCTATGTCTTTCCACAGTCTATTTGTTGGGTACCAGATATTGCTCAGTTTAAACATTATACAATCCAGTAGTGTAGAAAATCTACTGAATATCACTGAGCCCATGGTCCCTGGAGCTACAAGAGGGCCCTGATTCAAGAATTGCTGCCTTATGTTTACTCACTAGAGATTCAGCAAGAGGCAGATGGGCACCATGCTTTATATAATGTAGAAAAATTAGACAAATGACTCAACAGCAATGATATGCAATGGGATTTCACTTTTCATCAGTTCAATGAAAATGATTACTGGTTAGTTGCTTTGTGCATTCCTCATTAAAAATTACCCATCCAAAAATACAGAGGGAGATAAGCAAAAATTAAGCAGCATTAGTGAGATATGAAATGGTGGTAAGGCTTTGCATAGGGCACTAATGTACAGCAATATAGTCTGCTCATATTTGTTACTAAGGTTTCCATTGCAATTCACAAATTTCCAAACATGCTATCTCATACTAGGAAAATGACCTAATTCTTACAATGAAATACTTAATTATGGATCATTATTGAATAGAGGATTTTGCAAAATAGAGAGCTACAGTTAAGCTTTAATAATATTTCATTCTATTTAAAAGCTACAGGCCTAATGGATAATATGTATCATCTAGAAAATACATGATTATATTCCATTTATATTCTTTTATAAAAAAAAACATTTTTTTAAAAGGTTCAGATGCATTGCCTGATCAGAAATATTGTTGTAACCTGTATAATTGGGCTGAGTCTACACAAGCTGACATTGTTGGGTGGAATGGTGTGTACACACTCTGATTTGAAAAAGTTTTGCATGTTTGCATTGGCCCAACTGTTAAAGAGATTTTCCAGTGACTGTACAAGTTAGCATGAAAAAAAAAATCCTGAGCAACAGCAAAATATATATATATATATATATATATATACACTATATTGCCAAAAGTATTAAAGTCGTAGAATTCGCCAAATGTCTGCAGAGTCAGTAGCTAACGACCTCCAAACTTTGTGTGGTCTTACAACAACAGTGCGTAGAGAGCTTCATGGGATGGATTTCCATGGCCGGGCAGCTGCATCCAAGCCTTACATCACCAAGTGCAATGCAATGCGTCGGATGCTGTGGTGTAAAGCACGCCACCACTGGACTCTAGAGCAGTGGAGATGTGTTCTCTAGAGTGACGAATCACGCTTCTGTGTCTGGCAATCCGATGGATGTGTCTGGATTTGGTGGTTGCTAGGAAAACGATACTTGCCTGACTGCATTGTGCGAAGTGTAAAGTTTGGTGAAGGGGGATTATGGTGTGGGGTTGTTTTTCAGAGGCTGGGCTTGGCCCCATAGCTCCAGTGAAGGGAACTCTTAAGGCGTCAGCATGCCAAGACATTTTGGACAATTGCATGCTCCCAACTTTGTGGGAACAGTTTGGGGATGGCCTCTTCCTGTTCCAACATGACTGCGCACCAGTACACAAAGCAAGGTCCACAAAGACATGGTGAGCGAGTTTGGGGTGGAGGAACTTGACTGGCCTGTGCAGAGTCCTGACCTCAACCCAATAGAACACCTTTTGGATGAATTAGAGCGGAGACGGTGAGCTAGGCCTTTTTGTCCGACATCAGTGCCTGACCTCACAAATGAGCTTCTGGAAGAACTGGCAAACATTCCCATAGACACACTCCTAAACCTTGTGGACAGCCTTCCCAGAAGAGTTGAAGCTGTTATTGTTGCAAAGGGTGGACCAAATCTTATATATTCCACACGTTGCATTCAGAATCAGAGGCAAACAGTCATTGAGCTTGCTTTTGTGATTTTATTAAGGGGTTAATAACTTGGATAGGGCTCAGGGGTGTATGGGATGCCCAAGGGAACTGCAAATGTGAGTACAAACTCCTTAGCAACTATGTATAGATATGGACAAAATAGTCTCTCCTCCGAGAGCATTCCAGCTCTCTGGTGTACCTCCTCAGACCGCAGATGATTCCTCCTCTTCACCCAGCTGCCTGAGAGTATACCCTGAAGTTGCCAACTTGAAACAGTCCCATACTAGGAGCTAGCTGGGTTCTCCACCTGACCGCCCTCTCCCCTTATCCAGCCCAGGGGGTGTAGGATTACTCACTCCTTCAAGCTTAGTGGCTGCCTCCAGACCTGACACTGGGCTGTCTCCTTTCCTTCTCCACAGGCTGTGCTCTCTCAGGAAATGTTGAGGCAGAGATATACACCTTTCCAGCACCCTGCCCTTAGGTGAGCCCCTTCCCTGGGCCCCCTCCCTAGATCCACACTCCAACCTCTCACTCCATCTTCCACCCGACACTATTCCTGCCACTCTGTGATTCTTAAGGGTAGCCTTGTTCACCATGCCCAGCCTCCTGCCAGGGGATTGGCCAAGGTCCCTCAGGTATGCCTCAGATTCAAGCTTCCTCCCCTCTTCCAAAAAGCTCTCAGGTTTCCGGAGAGGAGGGAGGGCTCCAGAAGCTCTGATTTTAGACTCTCCCTAGCCCAGCAATGGGCAAACTACGGCCCAGCGGACCTTTTAATCCGGCCCGCGGAGCGTGATAAAAAAAAAAAACAGCCAGGGCAGGCAAACATTGGCTGTCAGGATGTGTGTAGGCGGGGCAGCGTGACAAACGTGAGGGGAGCTAGGCTCCTCTCACAGTCCACCATGAAGACCGGAACGGCGCGGGAACACGGCGAGAGGAACGCGCGGAGCAAAGGTAAGTAAATTGACACAGGGGGGACTTGGCTTACTACTTGGGGGGGGAATAGTACTATGGGGGATGAAATACTATATGAGGGATGAATTAATATGGGGGATGAATTAATATGGGGAATGAATTACTATAGGGGGGATGAATTACTATAGGGGGGATGAATTACTATGGGGGATGAATTACTATGGGGGATGAATTACTATATGGGGGATTAATTACTATGCTTACTATGGGGGAATATTACTATACTTACTATGGATGGCATGGTAGTGGCTGGGCCGGACAGCAGCTAGTGGGGGGCATAAAAGTTTTGTAAAATAACTCTTTTTATGCTTTTCTACCTTAAATTAATCTAAACATTTAATGTTACAAATTTTAATTTAATTTATATTAATTCACACATACACATCATTCATCTACTCTTGGTCCGGCCCCCGGGTCCAATATATATGAACCCATTGCGGCCTTCAAGTCAAAAAGTTTGCCCACTCCTGCCCTAGCCTGTCCTGAGGTAACCTTTCTACCTCACTCCCAGGTTGACTCATCCTAGGCTGCTACTCAGCCTCTGACTAAAAAAACAACAACAAAACCTATCTAGGTAAACTAGAGGGCATTACATATACATTTATAAATTGAATCTTTAATTATTAAAAAACAGTCCTTAAACTCTAGTCAAGTGATTTTCTTAGGCTGAGATGATATCAGCAGTTTCTTGCAGGCAGGATAAAGCTTTACCTCCTCTCTCTCTCAGTGATCAGACTGCTACAGTGTAATTTTGTGGCAAATTACATGGTGAGAGGCTGCATCGGGGATTGATTTGTATCAGGCCTTTATGAACACAACCAAGAATTGCACAGGCATAGGAATGTGCATAGTTGAGTACAGAGGAAAAATAGCTTTAGACTCATAGGGTTATCTCATTGGTATTACTATCTTAAAGTACTGATACTGCTATAAATAATATGGCTCCTGGACAGGCAGCTTCTACACCCCAGATGATGTCCATAGTTTCCTTGGCTTGTAGTATAATGTAACAAAAAGTGAAATTGAAGTGCCACACCACTGTTAAAAGGTCTAGATACAACTTTATTTCAATTAAAGTTAGGGGGACAATCCAAAGAGTATCAAACATTTTTCAGGGGTTCAAAAATGCCCCCAAGAAATGAATTGGATTTTTAATGTTATCTCTTGCAGTGTGATTGCAAGTACAGGTCTTATCAGCAGCTGGTTTTGGCCTGTCATTGTCCATTTTACTTCTAGTCTGTTCACATTGTTATTAATCATGTCCTGATGAAGGAGACGTTCTTAGACCCACAGAATGTGTTGGCTACTTTTTTGATTATCCCCATGACTTTTGTAGGAATAAAGTTGTATCTGGGCCTCTTAGTGGTGTGGCACTTCAATTTCCATGGGGCTTTACTTAACTGTTTCATCTCTGAGCCAGCAAGTCCAGGTAGGAGATACTGACCCTGGGTGATGCTAGACCAAAAATGGGCAGATTAGGGCATTTTAAGGCAGGCAAATTGGGATCATGTATTTAGTAGAATAACATATCTGTAACCTTAGGACCACTTTCTTTGCACTGTTCCATTTGTACTACTTCATTGATTATGCTGATTTCTTCAGTTGGTTGAATTAGCGTTCCAAGTCAAGGTTGAGTGCTGGCTGGCCAAACACGGTGCTAAATAATATTTCTCAGTACCGTGGAGACTGTCTTAGTGACATTTCCATGAATTACACAGATCTCTATAAAATAATAATAACACTTTTATTACTCTGTTTGTTCATTAAAATGCATATAAATGTTTGAAGTGATTCCCTATACTCACAAATGAAATTTCTGCAGTAATCTGGGTTTCATTAATTATATGTTATGAGTGTGTATTACATTACTCCTGGGACAGTGCAGATCATTAAGCTTTTCACATCATTTAACCTTCAGCTTAATGTGCTAATACTGTAGTTTCACAGGCACATCTGTCAGTGGATGACTCATAATGTGGGCTACACACCATATTGTACAGTGCTATGGTATTTTCACTGTATCTGTAGCAAACATTGCAAAGAAGCAAGAGCAATAGGCACACTGGATCCAATTTGGTAGAAAGACCACCAGGACTACAGCTTAAAGTGAACCTGTTCCAGGGCAAAATTATAGGTTTGTGTTACTGCTGGCCCCCACAGCTGCTTATACCTACCTTCCTCACTTCTTCTTTTATCATTGGGAGCAAAAAGAAGATCTGTGCATCTTTCAAGTCTCTGATATGAAGGGAGAACTTTGATGTAAGGGGGGGGGGGGGGTGGGCTCTGCTATTCATCCCAAAATTTTCCACCTGGCCCTGATGAGGGTCAGAAGAGTGCTGACTGGGCCACCCACAGACTGAATTTTGACTAGTTCATCAAGCAGCCAAAATTTGCTTTGTGTATGGCCAGCTTTGGCCTGTATATTATTAAGAAAGAATTACTATGTTCAAAACAGCTGATGGGGCAGATTATGATGTTATCACTATGTTTACATGTTTGGGGTATGAAAAGGTTCATTTTAGGCAGGGAATGGTCAGTGGTGGAAGTCTGCCTCTTGTTTTGCTATGAGAATGAATTTCTCTGCTTTTTCCTATAATTATATATTATATTCATTATGTGAATAATAGATTTCTTTGTGAAGTGTGCAATCACTGGGGACCATCCATAAGTATTAGAACAGTGCCACAGTACCCTGGGGTGTTGTTTGCATTTCCTTGGGGTGTTGAGATTGCAGGACCCAGTTTTCCCTGGATCGGCATCATGAGTTGCCATAATACGAATGAGCCAGCCACCAGCACCATAAAGGCCCAGCAGCACCATTTGTTGCCACGGTTATGGCTCCAGGCTCATACACATTATAGCAACATAGGACTCTGTTACCGCATGAAGGGCTATCCCCAGCATGTAGGAGAAGACGGAAGATCTGCTTGCTCTTTCTCCCTCCCTATGCCATGTTGCTAGAGCCAAACATAGGGCTCTAATGTGAAGAGGGAACTGTGTGACTGGGGGGGCTCTGTGATGGGGGGGACTATATGAATGGGGTGTTGTGTAATTGGGAGGCTAATTGACTGGGTGACTGTGTGATTGTTGACTCTGTGTTGGAGGGACTGTCTGATTGGGGGGGGGGTTCTGATGTTAAGACTCCCTGGTGTTGGGGGGCCTCCGATGTGAAGGAGTGAATATATGACATGAAGGGGGAATCTGATGTGATGGGCGGACCTCTGACATGATGAGAGACCTCTGGTGTGATGGGTAAACTCTGCTGTAAAGGGAGTGGGGGTGCTGAGTAATGGGGGACCTCTGACATCATGAGGGATCTCAGGTGTGGGGGCCTCTGATGTGAAGGGGGAACTCTGATCGATGAGAGGAACTCTGATGCGATGGTGGAACGTGTTATGTAAAGGAGGGGGGAGGGGGGCGGATTGCGCATTTTTCCAGGCTTCCATTCAGATTTCTCATTGATAAGTAACATTTATGCTTTGGTACATTAAGAGTTTGCATACTTTTAAAGTGTGCCATGACTGAAAAATGGTTGAGAAACACTGCAATAGAGTTTTGTCAGACATGCAGTTTTTATTTCATCCAGCAGCTAACATGTATGTTCTGCTTTAAAATCTATTTTTTTTTGCTCATGAAGAAGGACCTATATAAATTTACAGCTCATACATCTGTGCAAACGCACGCTGGTTATTATGGGAGATACTCACACAAAGAATGGTTGGGTATTACTGGAAACAGAACAAGGACAATGACCCCTGGGAAACCCAGCTTTGCCACTGATTCCAGATTCCAGATTCCACTGAGGAACCCTATTTAAGAATGTCCTTCTGAAGATTGAATTACACTAACAAATTGTTATGTTTTATCATGCACAAATACCTATGATAGTTATTGCCAATGATCTGTTATATAGATTTGGTTCACATTATGGACCTGGGCCCAGGCAGTTACTCTTTATCCACTCCAGAGTTTAAAATCATTGTTTTACTTCTGTTTTTGTGTCCAGTAGACAGTTCAGCCTTATTAATGTTCCCTGTGTTCTAGAACCAGCAAACAAAGGATTATGTATATCTTTCGCTCCCACAGACGACTGACCGCAGAGGAAGCCAGACGATGGGCTCGGTCGTTTGATCTACTCCTGTCTCATAAATGTGAGTATACCAAAATACATAAATATAACTGGAATTTGTTCAAGACTTTGCTGCATAACATTATAGAATGAGATAGTTCCAACCAAGCATGGACCTTTCCTATACATTCTTACAAGGGGATCACATGGCTTTGTTAATATATCCATGTCTGTGACATTTGTTTTTTTTTTTTTTTTCCCACCCAAGTCATGCCACACAACATCAGTTTATGATATGGCTTTGTTTATATACAAAGCCGTATTGAACAGAAAACTTTTCTTTCTAACGTATTTCGGTTAGCGGTGATACATGGCAAAATGAGAGGCCAATTCAAATGAACTTTTAACAAAGATAAATCGGTATTTGAACTGTGAAATCAAGTTTTGGGGAAATCAGTGTCCTATTCCTATATATGACTTTCGGCTCTTACCCGGAGAAGGGATGGCAGGGGGTACATCAGATTTAATCATACAGTAAATGGCTGGTTCAGGTGGAGATTACCTTCTCTTTGTCCATATCAATCTTCTATTTAACCTTTCCAGCTTCACCACTTCATCAGCCACCTCAACCCCAACCGTCCACCACAGTCACCTCACCCAACATCCCCCCCCACACACACACAGCACATTTCTTCCTGACCTTCCTGACAGTCACATCTTAGCCTTCATGACCAACTCAACACTCCAACATTACAGACAGCTCTCCTACTCCACCAGAGTCCCCTCTACCACCTCTGTTCCTCGCCATATGCACACTGCCTACACTGTAATGATCAGCTCCACTCAACAACTTTACCCATTCAGGAAAGCATTGCTTGTCTTTTCACTAAATTTAATAGGATGACCTAATCTGGAAATTGCTGTGTATTGTAATTTATATGACTGACATATTAGCTGTATATCATAATGAATCTGGCTCATAGCTATATGATTTATTAGGTAGCAGGGGTAGTTATATCTTACTACTGACATAAATCTGTCTGATGTTATATCATCTGTGTTTTGTATCTAATATTCCTAATGTCTTTGGCTGACGTTCTAACTGTACCTAAAACAACAAACAGTAGCTGAGGTTAAAGCTGTGAATTGTAATAAAGTGTCTAATGTTATATCTGTAGTGAATATGGCTGACATTCTAGCTCAGCCTTTCTCAGTCTTTTCAGCACAAAGGAACCCTTGAAATGACTTTCTGATCTCAGAGAACAATCCCTAAAAATGACTATATCTACAACTCAAGATACATTAGTGTGATGATCAGTGGGAATAATGCTTCTTATACTTGTGGTAATTAGGAAGAATTACCCCCTTACAGATAGCTAAAACAATCAGTGGTGTTAGTGGAAACTTATCTGAGAGGCAGAGATTGCTCATTGCTCAAGGAACCCCTAGCAACCTTTGGAGCAGTTGGCTTTCAGCCGTCTAGTAAGAGCGTTTCATTGAAATATGCATATGTGGTACAGTATGTTGATCTGTTGACAGTTCTCAAATTGTTCTTTAAAATCTAGGTTTAGATGCATATTGCACCTTAAGGAATATATAGGGGGCACAATAGGTATTGAATAGGAGGGAATAAGATAGATTTCGGGGTATAGTGGGTGAATGTGTACAACGGTAGTGAGAGGGAGAAGGAAGAGAGAGAGAAAAAAAGGGAGGCGGCAGGGGTAGGGATGTCGAGAGGAAGGTAGAAAAAGGGCGACTGGAAGCTAGTAATTGCAGGAGGAAACAGTAGTTACTTGCTGTATGTCAAAGGTGCAAGCTCGGCAAAGCTCCAGTATGGTGGGCCCTTACATAGGATCCTGTTTAGGTTACTTGGGTGGGAGTGTGGCTCTCTAGCAATACACACCAAACTGAGTATATGCAGCTTGCCCCAAGGCTCTATTCTATCAGCAGATGGATTGGGGACAGTAGAAGGGGAGGATAAGAGAAGTCAGGATCAAACAGCATTTTTATACAATGTGGAAGATTAACCCCTTAGGTTCTATGGTGAGTATAACAAGCATGCTTTACTGCATATACAGACTGATTTTACTGTTGTGGGTTTAGTAACACTTTAAATATGTATGTTGCATACCTGTGGGATCCGTGTGGAAGCAGGAATTCACTTTAGTAGGCACCACTACTCCAGTGATTTCTGCAAGCTTCCTGGTCCCATGCCAAATGGCTGCCATGCTTCCTTGTGAACACAGAAGGTCATTTGCTTGGCACAAATGCCATTCAGGGAACGCTTTGCATTTCCTCAATTAATGCAAACATTCTCTGATTGGACAATGTGGAGAGGTGGGCAGATTATGTCACAATGTCCTAATTGTCCAATCAAAGAAAGCTTTGCACTCTTCGAGAAAATGCAAAGTGTTTTTGAAACAGTGACCATGCTGAGCAGGTAACCTCCTGTGTTTGGTAAGCAGCAGAACAGCTGCTTGGCAAAAGACCTGGAAGCTAAAGGCAATCAATGTAGTGGTGCTTACTGCAGTGATTTTTTGCTTCCACTGGGATCCCACAGGTATGGCACATACATACTTACAGTGGTCCAAACTGGACAAGCTATATAAAAATTGGCAAACCTAAGCATGAGTTTTAATGATTTTAGGGCCTGCACATTTCTGTTTAGTGAAATAAAGTAGTGTGAAGTATGACCAGAGTTTTATTACCCTAGATGGCCGCTCTGCATTCCGTGCCTTTCTGCAGTCAGAATTTCAGTGAGGAGAATTTGGAGTTCTGGATGGCCTGTGAAGAATACAGGAAAACCCGCTCCATGAACAAACTGCCAGCAAAGGCTCGTCGTATCTTCCAAGAATTCATTGACGTTCAGGCTCCCAGAGAAGTAAGCTGAAGTAATCTTCACTATTCACTAATGACACAATAAATCTGTGATTTCAAGGATCTAATTACTGAAGGATAAAGTCCACTGCTGTACATAGTAATTAAAAGTATTCTATACAGAAAAAAGGACCAGCTGCTACTGGGATGCCTAGTATGAATATACCCCACCAAATTCAGAGGTCCTTGGCCAGGAGGACTGCCATCTCTGCCCAAAAGCTATGTATTCGGGAAATGATCAGCTCTGATTGAGTACTTTAGGTCAATGTTTCTCAGCTTATGGATGTAGTACTTTATTAAAATTAATGTTTATCAAGTACGCCAAGTAAGGATCTTAACATGAGAACACTTATTACCAATACGGCATATTTGTCCTTATAGCCCTGAGTTAAAAGAAAAAATATATGCAGTCAGGTAGGCATTGTGCTAACCTCCATTTAGTCTTACCTCCACTTTCCTGTTCTAACAGTTGTGTAAGGTGTCTAAATATAGCTATTAGATGCAGTTACTGATGTGGGTGCCCAAACATAATAGCCGGCAAGGGAAATTCCTCCATCCACGTGGATAGAGGAATCAATTGCTTTCTCATTGTATGGCTTGATTTAGGGATAAACTAGATCGGTAGAGACTTCAGAAACTGAAAATGTAACTTAACATGTCTTGAGAAAGAAGGAAAAGGGGAGACATGTCTGAAACCTGTAAATGCAATTCAGGGGGGTGGTATTTTCAGTACAAAGCTAAGATCAAGAACAAGGGGACATGACCTCTAACTAGCAAAACAAACCTTAGAAAGTATTATTTTACAGAAAGAGTAGTTAATACTGGAACAGATTTTCAGTAGAGTAAGTAAATCAGTCAACTGCTAAAACCAATTCATTGAAGCGCAATAGGAAAATTGACTCTTAAATTGGTGGTCAGTTGGAAGAATGCCTGGTCTGATTACCACCCTTGTAGACAGCTTTCCCAGATGTCATGCTGCTGGCTCTGCAAGTGGCACTAGCCCTGGAACTATGCAGGCACCATAAAATGGGAGGTCAGTTAGCCACAGCTTAAGGAACCCCTAGCAGCCTTTGGAGGAACCCTAGGGATCCACAGTACCCTGGCTGAGAATGGCTGCTTTGGATAATAGTTACAATAAAGGGGGCATACACTAAGAAGAGTTCAATCAGTTCTTTAAAGTGGTTGTAAAGGCTCAAGGTTTTTGCCTTCATGCATGGGTAAAAAACCTGTGTGCAGCAGCCCACCCCAGCTCCCCCTAATACTTAACTGAGCCCTATCCAGATCCAATAATGTACACAAGAGCCTCGGCTCTCCGGGCACTCTCCCTCCTCATTGGCTCAATCAGTGAGCCAATGAGGAGAGGGAGAGGGGGTAGAACAGGGCCAAACCACGACTCTGTGTGAAAGGATACGCAGAGCAGTGGCTCAGGAGCGAGTATGCTTGGGTGCCCCCATAGCAAGCTGCTTGCTCTGGGGGCACTTGGCAGGAGGGAGGGGTCTGGAGCGCTGAAAGGAAAACCCGAGAAGAGGAGGATCAGGGCTGCTCTGTGCAAAACCACTGCACAGAGCAGGTAAGTATAATATGTTTGTTATATATTTTTTTAAATAATTGCCTTTAATATCACTGTAAGAAATTTGACCAATGTGTGTCTCTGTTGGCAATATTCAACATCCTGTGATTAAAAAATTGATGGAGCAAGATAGAAAACTGTCGGCTGAAGCGCATTCTGTTTACCAATCAGATGCAAGCAATGTTTAGCTATTTGGATTGACCATCTTTCAGAATACAATAGTTGCAGTGGAAGATTCATCCATTTGTGCTGTTTATACTACTAGTTTTCCATGAGAGTGTTTCCAACAGCTCTGCCGACCTCTAATTTCTTCAGGGAAATACATTTCAAAATCACGACAGCATGAAAAGCCACAGGAAGCAAGAAGAAATCTCTTCAAAGTGAATAGAAATCACATCTTAGAAAGTTGTGACCGGAACAAATAGGCCCTTTTTTTTTAGACGATTTCTCCTTAACTTCTATTTCTTTGACAGCTGTGAAATTTGCATATCTTACCACTTTCACCCAGGAAAATGGAAAGGGCTGCCCCAGCGGTGACACAGATAACAGTAAAAACCTGAAAGGGATTCTATCCCTTCCCTACTTTATCCAAAGCTTTTGACTACACATACATTTTAATAAAAAACTCACCCAGTGATTTTCCACAGGTAACTAAATTCAGATGTGTCATATCATTTTATTTTCTGGTAACAGTAAGCCCTGGGTCACACCAGTGCGGCTTCAAAAGTGCACTACTTCATCAAGATTTCAAAGCCGCAGATCAGCGAGCTTTCTACCTCCCGATTTCACTAAGGCTTCAACAGAAGTCAGTGCAAGTCGTAATAAAACTGGAAAATAGTAGTGAAGGAACCTTTTCAAAGTCACTGCAACATGAGTCATGGCAATTTGAACGACTCCATTGCCAGCAATTGGGTGCAACTTGTCATGCAATTTGGAACTGTCAAGTCGCATGACAAATCGCACAGGTGTAAACCAGGGCTAAGTCATTGTAGAACAAAAGGTTATATGGGAAACGCATACTGATTACATAAGATTATCCTAACACTATCTTACAACTAAAGCTGGCCACAGACAACTTGAATTTATGCAGATTCCTAGTGAAATTCCCTATCAGCACCACTTGACTTGACAAAAGTCAATTTAAAAATCCACTGAGTCGGGCGTAAATTATCAGCCTGGTGTTGCTGCTAGTTAGCAGTAGAGATTCTCCCATTCAAGCTATTTAGTATACATGAAGAAATCGATTGATTTTCTCTCATTCAGCCCATGTATGGCTAGCCTAAAAAAAAAAAAAAAAAGAACTTGAGCTTGGTTCCACCCCCCTTCACCTCCTGAGTTTCTGTTGGTCCACTGACCAGTAGGGAGACTTCGGAAGCAGATGGGGATGGCTTGAGCTTTAATTGAGAAGTAAAAGGTCAAGATTTGCCTGTTATTTTCACAGCCTTTATCTTTGGATCTACAGATATTGTTAATAAGTGGATACCTTTAATCTCTGCTTACCCACATGGAAGAAAAATATATTTGAAAAATATTTTAGAAATATTCTTCCCAAATATATTTACATATATTTGAAATGCTACAATTTTTTTTTTTTTTTTAAATATAGTTTTTAAATATATTCTTCAGAATTTTTTTAACAAATAAAAAAGTAATTTTAACATATATTTTTACATATATTTGTAAATGCATTCCAAAAATGTAGATTTGTATCTTTAGAGACCTACAGTATATTTGAAATTTATTTTTTTAAATATTTTTTATATATTTTGTAATAAAAACGCATTTCAACATGCAGTATATATATATATATATATATATATATATATATTTATTGAAATATATTGACTATGGCCAAAATTGTAAAATTTCAAACATATGTCAATATATTTGGGAAGAATATTTTTATATATATATTTGAGTACTGTCCGTGATACTTTTTTTATTTGCACTAACATACAATTTTGAGGACAAGCTTTCGGGGTATGTCCCCTTCTTCAAGGTCTAAGCAGTACTATTACATTATTATTTTCTGTCGCAAATGCACTAATACGGCTACAATCACCTCAAGTAATATATATTTCAAATATATTTTTCTTCCATATGGGTATGTAAGTATTTTTCATTATGTTTAGTTTGAACTGCTCATGTTAAAGTTACTGCTGTACTGAGAGTGATTTGCAAGCTAAAAATGCTAGTCGCCCCTATCTTTAGTCTTTGTAAGTTATTGACACTACTGATCTGCATATTTGTTCTGAATCGGTGACTGAGAAAGTATTGTTCATGTAATCAGTGTGATAGCCAGGCAGCTTGCATTTTCAGAAGCAGGAGTTGTCAGTAACAATGAAAGCCTATTTTCCTCAATACAGGTTTGCTATCTACATGTTACACTTCACGTCTTTCCACTTTCCACTCTCCACTCATCAGATATCAGTTAGATTGTGACTGTACCTTTGCGTTATATTAATTTGTCTTAATCTGTCTTTCCTATTTGCACAAAACTCCCCCAGACAAATATAGAATTATATAGAGACTACGCAGGCTGATAAAAATAATTCCTGAGCAACATTTTCCTCCCGTAAGGTCAGCAGATGCCTTTATTTCAGCTATACCACTAGTGGGGATTCAGGCAAACTATAGTTCATTCTAATGAATTCACATGAATCATAAATCATACGCTTTCAACTCACTTCCTTAATTTATAGACGTTGAAAGTTTTATACTGGCCTGGGAATTATTCTTCCAACTGAGAGATTAACCACCAGAAAACTGAGCTGAGGTTTTGATGCTGGAGGAAAAATACCATCTGAATATGTATTAGTGGATTAGTTCAGCTACTTGATCTGCTGAATCAATATGCATCACTTACTTTGCTATTCATACTGATGCTCTAATTTTCTGAACAAGCATAGTAAAATATAAATAAGTAATGCAAAGCTGATTAGAGATTCCGCTACAGTTGAGGCACACAGAATAAGAAAGAAAAATGGCTTAATCTGTGCCCACAAAATGCAGGCAGGTGGTAACTGAGTAGTTACCAGTATTGCCTGCAGTCTTCCTGTACTTGCCATTACTAACTTACTATACCTTAGTAGAGGAGCAAGGCTTTGCTTCCTTGTGTCAGAGCAGACCCCCTGATGACTGGTGATTTGGTGACTAGTGGGGTAATATTTAAAAAGCAGTAGCATATTAGAGTAAGCACAGATCCACAGAAAACAATAAAGTAGAAACGGGGAGATTTTTGCATTGAAAGCCTTCAGGTACAGCTTCCACTCCAGTAAGGAAAAAGGTAACCTGCATAGTACATAGTTACATAGTTAATCTAGTTGAAAAAAAGACACAGGTACATCCAGTTTAACCAGTAGTGACACCACCAAATCTCAATGTAAATCTTGTGAGACTAAATGTCAGAGGCATGGCACATTAGATTATCACACTTTATAGATATACTGCTAATAGGTTACATAACCAGAGTGGCTAGGCAAAGTCACATGTCATGAAATGTAATGCTATGTGTGCTTGTCATGAGGAATTCTGGCAAGAGGTAGATTTTTGGGGTACTACTTTGGCACAATTAACACTTCCAGATGTCCATATAAGATATCAAAGAATCAAAAGTTCACACCCACTTTAAAGCTTTAAAAAGGAACTTCAGTCTCCTTTAGTCTTGGCTCCTTCACTAGCACAAAAATACTGTAAAGTAAAAAAAATATCCAAATATGAGAGAGGGAGGGGGAGATTGCAGGGCAAAGTAAGTGTATACTTAGGGTGAAGGTCCGCTTTAAGGTTGCTGTGAAAGGACAGACTTTTGCAAGGGATGCAACCTGTTTGAGTAGGGTTTTTTTAATAATAGGAAATATATGGGTTTACTGTATAGATAGCCAAAACTGTATTCTTTTGGCTTTGGATTGAATAAGGAGTGCCTAAAATCCCCTTTTTTATCTAGGCATTAACCTTAACATTTTGGATAGCTCACTATTTTCTGTCCCTGGGACAATGGTCACCAGGGCAAAAACAGAGTGTGAGTCTTCGCAACAGGGACACAGACAGTAATGAAAACTTTTTTTGTTTACAAACGGTTTTATTTTGCAAAAGTAGACTGTAAGACAACAGTACAGTTTCAAGTGATACTTACAGCAAAAACAAGGCACGTTTGAAAAGTACAATACAGAAAAGTATATTAATATAAGAAAGAGGGAATAAAATGTAGAAAACAGTAGATTGCAAGTACATGAAAACGTAGACAATTAAATAGGTTGCATGTTACATCTTGAAACAGTATATGCCAATCAATCTTCACTTGGGATGTTGTTAATTATGCAATAAATGTCTATAATTCCCATTTTTTTTCAAATAAGTGCATCTTATTCAGTAAGGTATAATGAATACGGTCCATGAGCTTTACAGCATCAACTCTGTGCAAAACGGTGGTTAAGGGTACAGTATTGGATTTCCAATGTGAGGCCACAGCCCACAAAGTGGCAATACAAATAGTATATATCAGTCTCATATTGACATCAGAGACCCCCGGGATATCAGCCCCCAATAAACAGGACAGTAATGAAAACTTGACAGAGTTCATTCCCTACTCTACCACAGCTAACTGCATTCAGAGGACATAACAGGTTCATAACTCACTGGTTGCTTAGTAGCCTGATGTGCTTCACCACACAAATCTTAATTTTATAAAGTAAGTTCTTCTTAGGATATAATATTTTTCTGTTGCAACTCTACAAATGTAAGTCAAAAATCCATAATGGTTTAAAGGTGTCTGCAAATTGTATGATTACAAGTAGAGCTCCTGCTGTCTTTCTCACCTACAGTTCTCAACTTATTGGTTGGTTTTGAAAAAATAATTAGAGACCTCTGCAACCTTGAAGATGAACTTCTGCTAATGTATCACGGTGTCCCTTATCCTCATATCCCTCTAAGATCTTTTGAACTGAGAGATTGGTTTTAAAAACACATTTTAATGCAAAGCACTCATTTTACTAACTTTCTCCACTGTGACATCATTAGCAGCCTCTTCTTCCTCTCTCCATGTCTACAGTTAGTAAGTGTGCTTCAGTACATCCTACATCCTATCTGGGTGATATAGGCATGCGCAATGAAACTACAGCTCCTATGAGCCATCCACATACAGCTACAGTTGGAGCTGGTCCTTTAGAGAGATTTGGGCAGTGTCTGCATTGATAGGGGAGCAGTGTATTCCCTTTGTCATTACCTACTATGGCATTTATAGAGTGAGGTAGTAGATGGGCCCACATTTTGGTATTCTCTGTACAGAGAGAGCACTGGGCTACCTAAGGCATTTAGGAAACCATTCACCTGCCCCAAAGGATACCCACGGTAGTGACCATAATCTTCATAACAAGAAAATGGGAAGGAGGAGTAGCTAAAAACAGCAATATATTCTGCAATGATAAACTTTCTCCAAACTCGTCAATTTAGGTAAGGCTCAAAATGATGTTTGCCAAACAAATTTTTTTTGCATTTGTGCCTGGAGTCTAACTTTAAGCAGCAGTTCTATGTGGTCTGCATGAAACAATCTGTTAAAAAAAAGTATCTTAGCCTACATGTACCACGGGGGATTCATTTCTGTTTTATGAATAGAAAATGGTTACTTAGTTATATAAGACAAATAAAATAAACAACTCGAGTAGCCATATAAAGCCAAAATAAGTGACCTAAGGCATCCCAAAAGCATGCATCTTTATTAAATTAAATTAGCCAATAAAGGGTATTACTTAAACTTAATACATACGTATACATTTTAGAAATATATGCAATCCTCACCTTGTAAACTCTCTATGTTTAAACTTTGCTTTTTAAAAGGTGAATATTGATTACCCAACTCGAGAAATGACTAAAAGAAATCTGCTGCACCCAACGTTGTCCTGTTTTGACCTGGCCCAGTTGAGAGTACGTAGTCTAATGGAAAGGGATTCCTACCCAAGGTTTCTTCGATCTCAAATCTACAATGACCTACTCAGCCACACGCAGAAGAGTCCATGCTAGTTCTACATGTGGTTTCAGAAACTTGCAGGTCACTTGGCCCATCCCAAGAACAGTCTTGCACTATGGCCAGAAGAACAGAGGTGACCCAGATATGACTGCTTCTGACAATTAAGCGTCTTCACTGCCAACATTAATATTTCATCATCATCTGGCTTTTCTGAATCAACCTGTTGCTTCAATGGATATTATCAGCCTTGCGGATCAGTGGACAGAGGAAATCCCGGGTTTCTAAAGAGGTGAAAGCAATGTAGAAGAGTCCTGATGCCGCCAATGTTGCAAAACACGTGTATCTTTCCTTTGATTACCATAGCTAATGCTTGAATTCCATCTTTAACTATCACATTAATTCAATCAACATGTTCAGACGCAAATACTTAATTACCGCATATGTCATATCCGATTGTTATGTCTCATAGGCATATATTTCAATGAACAAGCCAAAAATGTTATAACTTAAGTTGACTTGAAATGTTCTTGTGTGTAGAAACAATGGAAGGTCTGAAGGGTAGAAAGTGGTTGTACGGCATGTGAAAAATTTAATTAAATGAATGTTAAGTTACTGTAGATAATTGGAAAGGCTTCAGGGTCATCTGAAAAGTGACTATGTAAGACTGTTTCTCCCAGCTGTGAGTGCACATTAGGACAAGCGCAAACTGGCAAGAAGAAGTATACTTAAAGCAAAGATTACGTAATATAAAAAATAAGTTACTATTTATTAATTTCATATGCACAAGTTTCAGAAGCTTGCAAGAAATGAAAAAAAAAAAATGAAATCAAGCTATCATTATAAGATATATGATATCCCAAGGTAGCCAGAATTCTTTAAAAGCATAATACAAAATGGCTGCTTGCATAAGCAAGTACATTAGGCTGAACAGCCAATGTGGATGAGATAAGAATTTAAAGTTCTATGAAAATATGGAAACTATTACACTAGTACATGTGTATACTACTAGTAGATTCTTTATTCAAACTAACTGACCTTGTAGGTAGTGTATTTAAAACCTGAACTTCACTTATTTGCTCCCTTTTGGTCTGTTAAACATATTATTAGAAGCATTTTTGTTGTATCTGTTTGATAAGTGCAAACATTACCTATTTATCATGCTAGAAATCCACTGAACTTTCTGTGCAATCTACATCTGCTTCATTATTATCACTCAGCAGTTTCACAGTTTGCTCTTACCTCTTGTGTTATGGATATTAGAAAAGGGAAAGAGTTCTGTAGTCCTAACTTATTTCCAGTCCACAACGCTGCTCCATAAATAAAGGACAGTGAGTGAGTGATCTCACCCTAGGTGAAAATAAGGGAGGAAAAAAAGCCTGAAAAGAAAAACAAAACACAGCCACCACATCTAAGTACTGGTACTCTGCAAAATACTACACTTTTCTTGGATTTAGAGACACTTTAAGGGCACTTTAGTAGTTTATGTACAATGTACTAGACAGAGGTCAAACCAATGTATGGGACTTTTGAAATCACAGAAGAACCCATGATATAAGCAGCACTGATAGATGGAAATTGATGTTTTGCAGAGGATAAAAAATAAAATCATGAGTACTTAAAGAAAGCCAATCACAAATCTTGGCAATTCAGACTTGAGTGTATATAATATAAAAAATATATATGTTTTATTTATTTCAGGTACACTGTCAATTTACACAGTGCTTTACATACATATTGTACAATCACATCAGTCCCTAACCCTCAAGGGGCATACAATCTAAGGTCCCTAACTCGCATTCATACATACACATACTATGGACAATTTATACAGGATCCAATTAACCTACCTGCATGTCTTTGGAGTATGGGAGGAAACCCACACAGGCACAGGGAGAACATGCAAACTCCAGGCAGGTTGTGCCGTGGTTGGGATTCGAACCAGCGACCATAGTACTGCCAGACGGAAGTGCTAACCACTAAGCCACTGTGCCACCCATATCTTCATGATATTCTCATTTGAATTGCTGAGGTTTGTGAAAGCTTTAGTTAATCATGATATGAAATATAGAGATATAGCAAAGAAGTAGAAACCACACTACCGCTGAATCCTCTTTTTTCAGATTTCGAAGCGTTTTATTGTTTGCTGAGCATCACACAAGCTACCAAGCCATACTCCTTTTCTGATGTGTTTCTCCCTACCAGGGTCTTAGTCATGCAACGTCATGATTGCTATAGAAGAGGAGCATTGTTTGGCGGCTCAGGTAATGCTCAGCAAACACTAAAGCTCTTTTAAAGAGAGGATTTAGAGACTATGGTTTATACTTTTTGCTACATGCATTGCATGGAGCTTACAGACCATATACAACTAATCGATAATAGACAATTGTAAACTAGTTAAAGCTGAGGTCTGCTTGGGTACATCAAATTGTTATTGGTTGGATGGTGTGTTCAAGTAAGGGCCAAATTTCCCAAAAATATGTCAAATGATGTATTCTTCTTCTGCACAAAATACACATCAGATGCTTACTAGACATGATCATAGGGAAGAATAAAAGCTTTGTGCTTATCTGACCCAATCTTTTGTAGCTATACACTGCTTTGCTTTTCCTAGAAATGGAAATGACTGATGTATAAGGATATCTTTTTTTCAGTGAAATTTGATTAGGAAGATCAGACAATCCACACATATTTATCCAATGCATTCTGAGATGGAACAATGACCACGATGATGGTTTCAGAGAAAAAAAAATCACATTTTAAGATTAATAAGCAATTAAATGAAATATGAAAATTAGATCACGCAATTAGCTTATTTCAAAGCGTGGTGGAATGAAGAGATAATTGTAGACTTTTTATCTAAAAGCATCCCAAAATGAATATCTACACTACTCCATTTTTGTTCTGGAAATGCAAATTCACCTGCCCAAATCAGTGTAGGGAGTTGAAGACGGTCAAAGTGATGCATCATCTGTCTGTTCCATGGGAGTTAATGCTAAGCAGAGGGAGTTAACCATTAAAAAATATATATATTTACCCTTGAGGGTTAGGGACTGATGTGAATGTACAATATATATGTAAAGCACTGCGTAAATTGACAGCGCTATACAACTACCTGAAATAAATAAATGTGTATAGAGAGAGAGAGAGAGAGAGAGAGACAATATACTTAGACCATGGCATTTAAAGATTTACTTATTCTTAACAAGAGTTTTAAAATAAATAATCACTAACCTCTTTAGTTGCTTGATTTCTAACAGCTTACATGCACCTACTGTGTATGCATTTCTCCACAATGCCTATAGCTACAGAGGTGAATAAGGGTTTGCTTTAAAGTACTTGTTCAGAATATTTAAATACTTTAATGTGTATAGTCCTGCCACAGATTCACATTAAAGTGGTTGTAAAGGCTGAAAGTTCTTTACCTTCATGCATTCTATGCATGAAGGTAAAAAACTTATGTGTGCAGCAGCTCCCCCAGCCCCCTCAATACTTACCTGAGCCTCATCGCGATCCAGCAATGTAAATGACAGCCTAGGCTGTCTCGGGTCTCTGACTCCTCATTGGCAGAGACAGCAAGCAGGAGCCATTGGCTCCCGCTGCTGTCAATCACAGCCAGCCAATGAGGAGGGGGGGCAGGGCCAAGCCATGGCTCCACAGAGCAGTGGGTGCCCACATAGCAAGCTGCTTGCTGTGGGGGCACTTAACAGACAGGAGGAGCCAGTAGAACCTGCGGGGCACCCGAGAGGAGGAGGATCCAGACTGCTCTGTGCAAAACCACTGCACACAGCAGGTAAGTATAGATATGTGTGTTATTTAAAAAAAAAAAATGAACCTTTAGAATCACTTTAAGTCTTTAATGTGTAAGTACAGTTGTGGATGGCGTAAGAAAGATTTTAAAAACCCTCTTCAGCTGTCATGGTAACGATTATCACTGAGACAGAAAGTGATGGGAAATCCAAAATTCTACAGTTGACACCAGTACAGGTGAGCATAAATCTCCCCATGGGAGCCCCAGTTCTGATGACAACTATAGAGATTCTCTCTCACTTCTTGGTCCATCTCTGGGATGAGAAGTCAAGGAAGAAGACAGCAAAAAAGAAACTCTCGGGGGTTTTAACTCTTTTCTATTCTATCCAAAACCAAAAAAACAGCTCTACATACACTTTAATTCTAAAAGAGTTAAAGCATATCTATTGCAACTTATTGGTTCATAGATACATAATTACATAGTTAGTATGGCTGAAAAAAGACAAAAGTCCATCCAGTTCAACCATTAAAAAAAAAGTTATAATCCTATACCCAGAGTTGATCCAGAGGAAGGCAAAAAAACCCAGCAAATGTGGTGGCTGTATAAGTTTTCCTTTTTAGAGTAAAAAGCATTTTCAGCAAGAACAGGGAATGCTATACCTGTTGACCTTCCCAGAAAAACACAGGGTCCTTGTTTCTGCCTGGCAGCTGAAAAGAACACATAAATATATTTTTTTCTCTTGTAAACTACTAATCACGCCATAGATGGAGAAGTTAATATAGGCATGAAGGTACAGAAAGTGCGTTATTTGCACGATCACAGATGTAATAAAGGGAAAAAAAGCTTGACAAAAGAAAACAAATTAGGCGACTACATTTAGGGACTGATAAGCTGCATTATAATAAATGTCTGATTTTGAGTTTAGATACACTTTAAAAAAAGTCAGGTAAGACTGGATTGCCAAATGGATATTTTTCATCAAAATGTCTGCAAGTATTGCTCTATCCCATATTCTACAAAACACTGTTAAGGTAAGGGGGAAGAAAAAAAATATCAAGAGGGGAGTGAAGTTTCTGTTTAAGTACTTTATTATCTTTCTGCTTCTCATTGCAACTTGAGAATAAAAATAGTACACAAGCCACATCAAAGACTATTTTTGACTACAGATTTGTTACTGTGTAATCAGTCACTTTCCAATATGAAACAGCTTGGCTTAACTGGTTTAAGCTGGGTCTGATCCAGGTCTTCCAAAGAATGCAGTGTCACACATGATAGAATATATGCCGTGACATGTGTAAACATGTA